CCCGGCAGAACCGCGAGGTCGGCCGGCGATCCGGCGAGCCGAGCGATTCGACCCAGCCGCGCGTGGCGGCGGACTGGGCTTTCAACCATGCGCCCCATTTCGATTGAACAACAAACTGCAGGGGGAGGGAGGAAGAAGAACGGTCGACGAACGGCAGCGACATGGCCATGCTCACAATCATCAAGAGATTGGTTAACATTGCCGGCCAAACTCCATGGCTGGCAAGGAGGGCGTAGATGGCCGAATTCACCGTCGTGATCGGCAACAAGAACTATTCGTCGTGGTCGTTGCGCGGCTGGCTGATGGTCAGGATCGCCGGCATCGAGTTCGACGAGATCGTTGTGCCTCTCGACCGGCCGGAAACTCAGGCAGCGATCCGCAAGCACTCGCCCTCGGGCCGGCTGCCGGTACTGCTCCATCGCGGCCTCGCGGTGTGGGATTCGCTGGCGATCGCCGAGTATCTCAACGACCTCAAGCCCGAGGTGGGACTATGGCCGCCCTCCGCCGCGGCGCGCGCCCACGCCCGGTCGATCTCGGCGGAAATGCACTCGGGCTTTCCCGACCTGCGCAACAGCATGCCGATGAACATCCGCGCGTCCTATCCCGGCATGGGCATGACGCCGGGCACGCGCGCCGACATCGAGCGCATCACTTCGCTCTGGCGGGACTGCCGCAAGCGCTTCGCCGGCGCCTTCCAGAAGGACGACGGTTTCCTGTTCGGCGCGTTCGGCGCGGCGGACGCGATGTTCGCGCCCGTGGTGACGCGGTTCAAGACCTACGGCGTCACGCTCGACACCGACGCGGACGCCTACTGCACCGCGGTGCTCGGTCATCCGGCCATGAAGGAATGGATCGACGCGGCCCAGCACGAGCCCTGGCTGATCGACAGCTATGAACTGAAGTAACGCGACGGCGAAGCGCGGGCTCAGGCGCTCTTGCGGGCGCCTGTCCTGCGTTTGGCGGCCTTCTTCGCGGTCTTGCGCTTTGCCGTCTTGCGCTGCGTTGGGACCTTCTTCCCCTTCGCGCGGGCCTCGGAGAGACCGATGGCGATGGCCTGCTTGCGGCTTGTGACCGTTCCGCCCTTACCGCCGGGCCCGCTCTTGAGCGTGCGCTTCTTGCGCCGCTGGAGGGCGTTTTTCACGTCCTTGCTGGCGCTGCGTGAGTATTTCGCCATGGCGGTCCTCCTTCGCTTGGACGTGGTGGCGTCCTATGCCGTGCCGGGCATCACCGATCCCTTGCTTGAATCGAACGACGATGTCGTCCCGACTGCCGTCATCGGCGCTTCCTCGGGCGTGAGAAACAGGCCCCAGCGGCGGGCACCGACACCGAGCGCGCGTCGACTGGAGTAGATCGCGAGCGGCGGTGCCAACAGAAGACCCGCCACCACCGGGAGGAGCCAGGGCAGAAAGGCGGGCGCCCACCTTCCGATGACCAGCACAGCGACAACGCCCAGCATCATGTGGCCGAGATGCCGCTCCAGGGCCGTATCCCACTCCATGCCCCGATCGCCGCGGGCCTGCGGCGGCCAGCCGACGGCGCGGCCCGAGAGGATGCCCAGCACGAACGTCGAATGGAACAGCATCATCACGGGCGCCAGCAGCATCGAGAAGAGCGTC